TGACTTCACTGAACCTCAGTTTACCCTTCAATAAAGTGAGAATAATACTACTTATCTTTAAGTGTTATTGCAGAACTTGAAATGAGAGTAGGGCTTTACCATCATCCTTTATCCTCAGGCCGTAGTTTAAATGTAACAATTTTTTAACCCTTAATAAAAAAGCATTTAATACTACCACTTGATTTTGTGTCGAAAATATAGTTGTAAGCTATTAGTATATTAGGACTTCATTTTCCATATCTCCCTTTATATTTCCAGATCATTTCTGCCAGCATTGGAAATGTTGGCCTTGTCCAACTCATTGTGTTAAATCCCTAAACAAATTTTCAGGTATGAGAATGACCTGGCTGTATGCCAGACTGGAGTCTGACATCATTGGCCTGTACAAGGTACTGGATGAGCTGATCCTGGCCAGAGTGACCTGGAGATGCAGATTGAGAACCTGACTGAAGAGCTGGCCTATCTGAAGAAGAACCACAAGGAGGTCAGAAGTTGTTTCTTTCCTCCAAGACCCCACAATTACAGTTTCAAGTTTACAAATGAGGAGTTAAAATATGTCCTGTTAAAGTGGTCACTTGTTTTAGATGTGCCTGTGTGAACATTGCTGCTGGTGCTGTTGATAATTGTTCCCACTAAGGTTTAACAAATTAGAGGAACTTTCTGATTTTATCATTTTCATTATTAGGTAATGAGAATTCTAATTATCTTGATTTAGTGATTTTGAAAAAAAATATATGTATGGTATTTCAAAAGTTAGAAAATAAACAAGTCTATCAATAATACAAAATGCTATCTATGCCACACATGGAACTCTGATTGGCCATGGTGTATATTAGGGGCTGGTGTAGAGAATGGACACTGGCAGTAAATTCCTAAAGGACTCCACTCAATTTTCAATGACTCTGCAAACCCAGCAGGCCTAGGCACTGTTTTCAGCCCTCAGTTTGACAACCGTAGTTGAAATCCTTTCAGCAACATGCTTACCAGGCCTCCCCTTCCTGTACAGATAGTGGACTCTCTAGAAAAAGGCCAACTAACCCTTCTGGGCCATAGGTGCAGCATGTAGGGTCATAGTCACTAAAAGGACCAGTGAAATTATCTTAAGTTTTTTTTTTTTATTGTGTTCAAATATATTGCCTATTTTTGTTCTAATTAGTTACATATGAGAGTAGAGTGGATTTTGGCACTTCATATATAATGGAGTATAACTTTTCATTCTTCTGACTGTATATGACATAAAATTACAGTGGTTGTGTTTTCATATTTACACATGAGGTAAAAATGTGTGATTTATTCTCCTAACCCACCTACTTCTATACCCCGTTCTCCTTTCATTCCCCTATATCTAATTTAAAGTGTCTCTATGCTTCCCTAGACACCTTCCCTTACTGTGAATTTGAATCTACATATCAGAGAAAATGTTGGGCCTTTGATTCTTTGGGATTGGTTTATTTCACTTAGCATAGTATTCTCCAGCTGTATCCATTTACCAGCAAATTCCATCATTTCATTCTTTATGGCTCAGTAATATTCCATCATATATATATATATATATATCACATTTTCTTTATCCATTCATCTGTTAAAAGGCACCTAGTTTGGTTCCATAGTTTAGATATTGCAAATTGAATGGCTGTAAACTTTGATGTTGCTGTGTTACCTTGGATGTAACTGAGAAGTGAGATAACTGGGTCAAAAGGTAGTTCCATTCCATTTTTTTCTGAAGAATATTCATACTGCTTTCCATATGGTTACACTAATTTCCAGCCCCACATGCCCTGTATGAGTGTACCTTTTTCCCCACATCTTCAACAAAATTTATTGTTGCTTTTATCCTTGATAGTTGCCAGTCTGACTGGAGTGAGATAAAATCATAGAGGAATTTTGATTTGCATTTCTCTAATCTCTAGAGATGTTGAACATTTTTTCATGTATTTGTTGATTATATGTATTCTTCTCTGACATGTCTGTTCATTTCCTTTGCCCATATATTGACTGGATTATTTGGTTTTTAGGTATAAAGATTTTTGAGTTCTTTATATATCCTGGAGATTTTGCATATGATAACTATTTTCTCACATTCTGTAGACTCTCTCTTCATCTTAATGATTGTTTCCTTTGCTATTAAGAAACCTTTTACTTTAATTCCATCCCATTTATTCATTATTGATTTTACTTCTCATGCTTTAGGAAGTCAGCTCCTAAGCCAAAGTGGTGAAGAACTGAGCCTACTTTTTCTTCTATTAGGCACAGGTTCTCTCATCTAGTGTGTAAATTCTTGGTTCACTTTGAGTTGTTTCTCACAGGGTGAGAAACACGTTTAATTTCATTTTGCTACATATGTGTCAGGGACTAGAAGGAAATTCTCCTTCAAAGATTAGCCTGACACTCCCCTGGGAGACATTCCTGCCTGGGAGGCATCCTGCAGCCACCTATCTCCCTGGAACATCCTGCAGTTATCAGGATCATCAGACATCTTGCACCTGGCAGTTTTACCACCCACATCCAGCAATTGTTGATTAGAGAGCTTCCCCATCCCCAGCATATAAATACCCCTGTGTGAACAATAAAAGTTTGCAGCTTGATCAGACACCTGTCTTGCTGTCACCTTTCCTGTCTCTTGTCCCTTCATTCCTCCCCATCTAGGTTCACTGCCCACATTGGTGTGTCCTGCCAGATGGGACAATATGGATTTCCATTTTCCAAGCACCATTAGTTGAAGATGCTATCTTTTCTCCAATATATGTTTTTGGCAACTCAGTCTAGTATGAGATAACTGAATTTATGTGGGTTTGTCTTTGTGCCATCTATTCTGTACCATTAATCTATATGTCTTTATTGGTGCCAATACCATGTTGTTTTTGTTACTATCACTTGTAGTATAATTTAAGGTTTATTCATTTCCTATAAACATCATTTTTTTAAACCAGGGATTAAACTCAGGGGCACTCAACCACTGAGCCACATCTTCTGCCCTATTTTGTATTTTATTTAGAGACTAAATCTCACTGAGTTGTTTAGTGTCTTATCATTTCTGAGGCTGGCTTTAAACTCAACATCCTCCTGCCTCAGCTTCTATAGCCACTGGGATTATAGATGTTTGCCATTGTGCCCAGCTAAATATCACTTCTTTAGGGATCCCTTTTCTGCTGTGCTCAGTGATGGCTCTCACAGGCCCCCAGACTGCTCTGCAGCATTCATCACATGAATCTGTCTTCTCATACCTGTCCTCTCCAAAAGGACAAGTATTCTGACCTTGTATACCTAATGAGGGGCCTGACAAGGAGATGGAGTTCCCATCATTATATAACTGATATTTTCATACATACTCAGCTTTAATTAAGTGAGTAAATTCACACTAAAATACCACTCCGGAGATTCCATTAATCATGGATGCTGGGGTGCTTGCTTCAACAGAGCCAATCCTTTATAAGAAACAGAACTTGGTCAGAAAATGCCACTCCAGGCAGGCCTGACAGAGTCAGGAAGCCAGGTTACCAGGTCAACACAACAGAACACAGGGTGTATGGAGCAAATGAATGGCAGTGCAGAGGGCAGGAGGAAACCCCAGGGGAAGGAAGGAAAGTGGTATTAGAAGGTTCCTTGGCTCAGGGCCACCTGAGTTGTTTGTCCTCTGGATCTGGCAGCTCCTCACCCTGTCTTCCCCACTAAGACCATCTGAGCAAGACATGAGGGGGCCAGTGCCCTGAGAAGACCAACACAGGCCTAAAGGTGGGGTGGCTTATTTTTGTGTGATCTTTGTGAAATAAAATACATATGCAAAGTACATGAAATGTATCTGTGGAGATTGATGAATTATAACATGAGTGGGCTGACACCCACCTCCCCAGTCAGGACTTACAGCATCCCCAGCACCATAGAATCACACACATATTATTCCTGACCTACTTGCTACATCCCTATAGTGGCCTTGGCCCTGGATTTTCTCATTACCATGTCCTCACACCCCAAAGAGTAATTGTATGTCTCCAGGTTTTGAAGGTCTTAAGGATGGGAACATAGAGCACATTTTGTTCTTTCCACTCAGTATTTTGTGAGTCATCTTCTGGTTGTATGTAGCCTGTTTACTCACTGTTCCTGCATTAAATTTTGTGCCTGAGAGTCTCATAAGTTATGCATCCTGATTCTGTTGATGGACAGTTGTGCTATGTCTGGCTTGTGTGCACTCTGTGTCTTAATGTGAGGCTATCCTTCTGGATGACTTGTAACATCGGAGGGAGTTTGGAGAGGAAGGGAAGGGAGGAGACACAGGAAGCATCTATTTTCATGGGGACAGGGCAGGTGTGAGAGGCCTGGCTACAGAAGTGAGAGTGGGCCTATGGGCACCATGAAGAAAAGGCACTGCAAATCTCCTTTGATGTTTACTCCTGTCTGAGACTGGACTGGTATCCTTCTCCTAAAAAGATTTGGTTGTTATGGGCACCCCACAGTCCTCTGGACTGGGCTACCTGACCCCTGCAACCCTCTGGGGTATAAACTAGTCCTATATGCATAGAGAAGCCAGGCAAGACAATCTTTTGCAAAACACTGCCCATGAGGGACAGAGGAAACACCACCAACTGGCCAACAACTGTGTCTCTTTTCCCAAGATGGGCATACCTCAAGAGGTTTCTGTTTGGGAGATTCAGGGATTCACTGTCACACATCCAGGTGCTTGCCTGCTTAGAGATAAGGTAGCCAGAACCCTGGAGTGAAGATGCTTACACAGCTGGCCCCTCCCCACACCTCAGCTGTGCTGGGAACCAGGCTGCTCAGTGGAACCCAACTCTTGGAGACTTCTGATAGCTCAGGGCAGAGCTCCCCAGCTTTTCAAGAAAACCTATCTTGGCATCACCTCAAATCTCCTATTTCCTACTGGGGACTCTCCTGGCCAAAGATGGCCAGGAGTCTCTCCTGTCGTAGGAGACTGGGGGTGGGGGGGCTAAAGCTCCAAACCCCAGTTCTTCTGTTCTGAAGAAATAAGACTTTGAGTCAGTCACTGAAAACCAGAAAAGAGAATTTTATTAGTAGTAAAACTAAATTAAGACTCAAACAAAGAGCACTCCCAGCAAAGAACAACAGGAAACAGTGCTATCTATGAATTTTTTGGTGTTTTGTGGTTGCCTTGAGAACTGGGTGTGCCTTCAGCACTCTTTGCCAATATGGTGTTCTCCTCCTTTGTGTTGGGTGGTGGAGTTTTGTCCTTAGTTGGTCCTCTCCAGAACTGTCATGGTGGCCTTCTTGTTCAGAGGACTTCATCTACAAGTCAGTTTTCTGTTAATATGAATATTCAGGTTAATGACAAGGCAGAATTCACCTTACAGCCCCTGCACTACTGAGAAAATTTTTCTTCTGAAATATATTGGGACACCTATGGCCATAATTTCTAGCTTTACAGTGACCCCAATTGACCCTGTCAAGAGTTAGAATAGCCCCCATTAATCTTTCTTTCTGGATATATATCTTGATTGGTCCTCTTTTACCTGTTTATTCTTTAAGGTTTCCACACTTGTTGTTTTTCTGTAAGTTATCTGTTTACCCATATGCCTTAAAAGTAACGTAAAGAAAACCAAAAAAGTAACTTTAAAGGAAACCCATGACCTTGCCATGTTATTGGTTTGCATTTCACTGGTCACTACTAACTGCTACCTAATACCCCCTGCCAAGGTTCAAGACCCTAAATCATATCTGGGACAAGGATGACTAATACCTACTTTCTGATGATAAGGGTAGGTATCTCCCATACTTGCTGTCAGTGAAATGCTCTTGATTATGAGTTAAGCTCTATCCAGGGGGCCTCAATATCTGAAATAGAGGAAATCATTTAGAGGCAAATGCCCTTTGAGAAAAACAACAAGATACAACTATCACCATAAAATTGATATACCAAGAGACAGAGAAATATTAGATACATTGAGCAGTTCCAAAAACCAGAAATTTCCTCCACCAGAAAGCTAAAAAAACCCAGCTAAAAACTTGTCTCCATGGCAAGGGTGGTGAGGACAGAGCATCTTTTGGGGAATGCAAATCTGGTTTTTATGGTAGGGGTTACCAGAGACTGAAGTCAGGGGAAACTAACCACTAAGCAACATCCCCAAACATTTTTATATTTTATTCAAAGACAGGGTCTTCCTGAATTGCTTGGGGCCTTGCTACTTTGCTGAGGCTGGCTTTGTACTTACAATCTTCCTGCCTGAGCCTCCCCAGCCACTGGGGTTCAGGCATGTGCTTCACTTTCCAGTGGCTTCTCCTGCCACATACAGGGCAAGAAGTCTTTGGAAGCCTGCCCTTAATTGGGCAGATTTTCTTCTAGTGCCCTCACTTTCTGTAATGATGACAGACACCTACAGAGGCTCAAGGGTTCTGTGGGGAAGAAAAGAGGGTGGCCATGAAGAGCTGCAGTCAATAATTGTATTGGTCTCTTGGCCCTCTTTTCTCCTTTCTTAGGTCCCTTCATGTTTCCTCCTGGTTTGATCATAAACGACCTGCATGGCTAACTTTAAGGGAAGTCCCAGGGCCTGCTACCAATTTTGTTATTTCTAAAATCTGGGGCAAATTGAAGAATAAATATATCTTTTAAAATAAGTTGCCTTTCAAAAGATGCAGGATCTAAGAATGTATATTTAACTAAGCCTTCCTTCAATATTTCTACAAAAGTCCTGGGATTTCACCCCAACCCCTGATCAATCACTGCCAATGTCATAGAACAGGTTTCATCCTATTATTTTTAAGTGCTGCCTTGAGACAAATGATCAGGTGATCTCTGTATCACCTTCAAAGTGAATCATCATAACTCCAATGAGGATGCTCAGTTTGAACAGCAGAAGGACCCACAAGGTATAAAGTGTTAGGAAAATATAAATCATCCTCCAAACCTTAGCAAACTGAGGTCTCTGTTAGAGTTTGACTCAAAATTATTGTTATATCTCTCCAGATTACCTCAAGGCCTGAGTTTGAATCCCTCTATATATTTATCAGGGTCATCAGCAAATCTTCCTAAATCCTGTTGGGCCTGTTTTAGATCTTGCATAGAAAAAGGTACCTGCATTCTTACCAGTCAATATTCTCCATTTTCCTCTTGTAATGTGTATAATCTGGTAGGAGGCTAAATAGGGACAGACTCATGATGAGGAAAATAGGGTTGTGGGAATGGGAGCAGGTAATGGTGGGTATAGAGGAGAGTGGGAGAATTTGATATTGACAGATGAGTGTTAGGTACATTGTTGAGAGGAAGGAAGTGTGGTTTGGGGGTCCCTAGGCCAGTAATGTTTTGACTCATTTGACTAGAAAGGCCTCATCAGAGTAGGATGGGCATGACATTGAAAAGTGGGGGAGGGGAGCAAGAGTTTTTGTGTCACTCTATTGGAAACATAGATAGTCCAAAAATAACAACAGGATTACTGACATAGAAAAGAGCAAGAATCATTGTATTCCTTGGCTTTCCTTTGGAATAATAAATGTGAGGGGACATGGGGTCCATGCAAAGTCACTATAGAATAAGGACCATAACTACCATTTTGGTGAAGAAAAGATACCAACTGAGAATATAATTCTTAGCTATGAGGGATCTTCAACTAGTGCCCCATGAGAAGATTTGAAAGTAGATAAAGGTGGTTAACTCATTGCCCTCCAGATTCTGGAAGTAACCTATAAAAATGGTGGTGTGATGCCCATTACTGAAGAGAGACAGGGGGACACCATAAGGCAACAGCCATAACAGTGGAGCCTCATTGCCTCTCTGATGGCCTTGCTCGAAAGAATGCCACAAAAAGCAAGAGAAAGTGTACATCTATATGTCAGCAGAAAAAAAAATGTCACTGTTATTAAGAGTATAAAAAAGATGAACAGTGACAACATAAATGACACTAGACAAAGCATGGGTGTGACATATGGAAGAGGTTTCAGCAGAGGAAAGTGTAGACAGAGAAACTAAAGCAAACTGTAAGATTTCAGAGGCTAAGTTAGACATAATCTCAACCAAAGCTGAGAGAGGAATAAGGTGAAGTTTAAATTCCTTCCTGGAGTTGGCTGTCAATCTGATTCAAGGCACTTGATTAGATGTCGCTGGAGAGTGGGGAGTTGAAACTCCAAACCTCAGGTCTTGTATTCCAAAGAAAGAAAATCTGAGGTCAGAAAACAAAGATAATGCAAGATAACTTTTTATTAAAGTAAAAATAAAGTAAGGCTCAAACAAAGAGCATTCTCCAAACAGTGGTTCACTCCCAGCAGAGAACAATGAAGGAAAGAGTGCTGTCTCCAAATTCATTGGTATTTTATGATTGCCCTGAGAAATGGGTCCACATTCACCACTTTTTGACAATCAGGTGTTCAACTCCTTCATGTCTCTTCAGGCCCTTCAAGAATTAGGACATCTAGCATTTCAAGCAGGCATTGATGTAGGAAAGGTGAGTCTGGACACCTGAGGAATTTGGAGGAAGCAGATTTATTTAAGCTGCAGCAATCCAGAGGGGCTAACACCAAACAAGCTCTGGACCCCAGGTCTGGAAATTCTCTAAGATTTCAGTGGGTGGTAACACAGCAAATATTTAATATAACATAATTTTGTTCCATATTCATAGGTTGAACAGAGGTTTCACATTTTTTTTTTACACAGAAAACAAAAATTTTCAAACATCAACAAACTTGATTGGAGACTTTTTTTTATGTTGTAGATGAGCACAATACCTTTATTTTTATGTGGTGCTGAGAATTGAACACCAGGCCTCACATGTGCTAGGCAAGTGCTCTATCACTGAGCCACAACCCCAACCCTGCAGGCTTAAGTCTTACAAGAAAGAGAAACCTGGCCTTTACAACAAAAAGGAGCTCAAAGCACAATGAGTGCTCTGGAAATTTTGCTGACTTCTTAAAATAACCTCTTCTTGATTAGGAGAGAGACTTGTGTGTTACAATTAAGTTGGGAGTCTTTTAGGAACTACAGCATTACCCCCTTTGATGCTCATTATTTAATCCTCTAAGTCAAAGGGCATTATTATCTTCTTGGCTTAAAGCTTTATATAATGTAATAGCATAGTTGTTGTTTCTCTTTAAAAAAAAACCTGCTTCTATTGCAGAACCACTAGTTTTAATGTAAAGAGGAAACAAACATGGAAGCAATAAACAAGTTCATAGCATAATCCATGCTATGTCAATTAAGCTTTTGAATCCACCAAGAAAAGGAAACCATCCTCCAAATAGTGAGCTTGGATCTCAACTGCAATGCCCTTTCAGGATTGAACTGGTACATGTGTATGTTTTCTGATATTATTAACTATGTGTTTGATTGTTATCAGTCCTAGAGTCAAGACAAAACAAAGGACTCTGTATAGGACAGAAGTAAGGGGTGGCAATGACAGTGTAAGAGCTGTCTTAAAGAGTGAAACAGTCCATTTTCCTTTTGGTTAGTATATCTTTCACCTTGTACATCCAACCCAGAGTGGCTGAAGCAGGGCTGATGTTTCCTCAAGCTTTGGGCACATTCAGGCTAGTCAGCTTCCAGAGTGACTTGAGCAGGGTTGATGTCCTTCAGATCTTTGAGTTTCTCTGGTGTTTCCTTCTTCCTGATGCTCAGCTTAAGTGGTACAAATTAAGGAGGGAAAGCTGCAAAAGAATGTACATAAGAATAAGAGATTTTATATTCAGGAGGCTCCAAAGCAGGCTAAAAGGAACAAAGTATTACATAATGTATATCTCTGCATGTGTACATACATGTATTGACATATTTGGTGACACTCTAAAAAGAGTAAGGGATTGTAGAGAGTGCTCTATGTGGGGGTGTGCAAGAGGTGGGGGATATCCCAAGAGGCTTGAACTATGTAGATTTAACTCAATGTAACTTTAAACAAATTTGAAAACAGCCTATAATTTCACAAGGCTGACCCAATATTGGCTTATGATCTTCCATATATTATTATTTCATCTAAAAAATGAAGTAAATTCAACCGCCTGCCTCACAGGTCAGTTGCCTTCCAAAGGTGCACCTCTAAGTGGGTTGACTTTAATCTCAGAATATATTTCTGCATGGAAATCATGTCAAATGCCTTCCTGGCTCCCAAAGTTTAGGTACTGTTCAACAGCTTAATTTTACCCCTGGCTTATCCTCCTCAACAACTTTACTTTACCAGATGCAAACCCAAGGTTGTACCTAGTTCTGCACCCTGGTCAAGGTCACCCAGTTAAGAGGGATTTAAATCCAGCTCTACCCAATCTGAAGTCTTTATTTCTCCTCACACTACCCCTTAGCCAGACAAACTTGCTTACTTATATTTTTCCTTTCTTGATAATCTCTTGGAAGAAGCCAGTGTTAGGCTAAATTTGGTAGATCTAGGAGGGTATTTTCCCAATAGGCTATTTCTCCTACAAGTCCAGGTATGGCCAGTCTGGCTGTCCCCAGCCTGCTGCAATGTACTGGGGCCTCACACCACTGCCCAGAGACCCTGTGCCCAGATGACCCTATGTCCAGGACACAGAGTCTCCTCAGGGAAGAGTGGAGGAGTAGGGGAAGGAGACACCATGGAAAGTTCAAGAGAATGGACCAGAAGGTTCTTCCAGGGCTAGACTCCCAGAGCAGCCAAGATCCCTCTCTATCTTGCCCTACAGGATCAGGTCTAGACCTGGCCAGCAGCTCCCAGGCTCTAACCCCACCTTCTCACCAGTGAGCTGGACCCACCTAGCCCCACCCACTGCCTGCTGTGAGGACTGCAGCCTTTATTTAAAGTGCTCACTTGTTTATTTGGATGAGTTCCCTGAGTTAGAGCCACAACTCCTCAAGGGTCCTGAGGACTGGTGGCCGGTCCTGGGGTGACAAAAGGCAGGCGGCATGCAGTAGAACTTGGTGAGGTGACTGTAATGGAGAATGATGAGTTTCCCAGCTCTTATACATCTTGAGCAGAGAAGCATCCTTGGGGTCAATTCACTGCAATGGCACCATCATGAAATGGTGGCATATGGTGGCAAGAGCAGCATCCAGCTGTTTTGGGCATAGGGCATCAGGCATCAAAAGTCAGGTGTTGAGAATTGGCGTGGGGTGGGGGTGACTGTGGTGTTGTCGGCATGCAGCTGTGATTTGGGAGTTCCTTGCTTCCTACTCATGGCGGCGGTGACAGTGGAAGAATCCAGAAACAGTGGTTGTAACAACAGATGCATCCAGCCATGAGTGTTTTCATCTGCCATAGTGACAAGGGTCTGGCTGCAGTTGCAATGAAGTTGGCCCCAGTACTGAGTGTCACTGTCTAGTATCCATGTTAAAGTCTGGTGGCAGCTGGGTGGAGCTCCAGATTCTGGCAGGGGCGGGAGCAACATGCAGCTGCATCAGGGGTCTAGCCTCAGTATAGGGGTCGGGCACCAGGTGTGGGATAAAGTGCAATGACATTCGGGCCTTGGTGGGCAGTGTTGGAGTCCATCTGGAGTTTGGAAGTTTGAGTGCTGCACAATGGTGGTGGCACCACAAGAGTTCAGAAGCAGGGGCAGCAAAAACAGGCAGTGTCCAGCAGTGAGCATCTTCATCCTGCAGAAGTAACTGGGGTCCGGCTGCAGGGCAGTGAAGGTGGCATCCAGTGGCCATGTGGGGAGTCTGGTTGGCTGCAGCGAAGAGCTCCAGGCTGGCACAGCAGCAAGGGCATGGGATAGTGGGTGTCAGAGTGAGAAGGTAACCAGTAGCTGGGATGTCCTCTGTGGTGGAGGCTCCAGGCCTTGGTCTTGCTCCTGGTCAACTGGCCTGCTCAGGAAGAAGCACGTGGGAGGCGGTGGTACCCAGTTAGCTGCCCAGGACCTTATGCTGCCCACAGCTGCCATGTCTTGCTCTGGCCATGAGCCCACTGTGTGTCTGCTCAGCCCATCACCTGATATAGCCTCTCTACTGAGGAACTAGGCTGTCTGCTAAGTTGGGGCAGTCTTGGGAGAGAACCTCACCATCCCCAGCCACATCCTGCATGGACAGTGGGTGCAGAAAGCAGAGGTCCTAGGACATCCTCACCCCCAAAGTGCATTTCTGTGGCTGGGGGAGGCAGAAGACCAAGACAGAGAACTCGTTGCCCTTAGACTCCCACTGCCTCCTGTGCCCTCCACCCTTGTCCCGCCCCAGGGATGCACTTGAAGGGTGAGGATTTGTTAGGCCCTCCCACCACCCACCTCTGCACTCTGCTACCACAGCCCAGGGGAGATGTAGCTGGGGAGGGTGGGTGTCTTCTCCCAAGGCTGCCCCAGCTGGCAGCAGGCCTACTCATCCCTCAGAGGCTGCAACTCAGGGAGGGGCAGGGTGAACTCAAGGATTAGGTGAGCAGCCTGGTGGACTCAAGGCCAATGCCAGGCATTGCTGGAATGGGCAGCATAAGGTCCTCAGCAGGTGTCTGGGTACCACCAGCTCCTGCGCCCTGCTTCCTGAGCAGGCAGGCCCTACCAGGAGCAATACCAGTTGCCTGGAGGAGCCACTGCAGAGGCCATCACAGCCTCCAGTCGCCCTCTGACTCTGAGGCCTGCTGTCCCAAGCTTTCACCATCACCGCTAACAGAGCTCCACACTGCAGCCACTGGAGTCCCCACAGGGCCACCAGTGATGCCGAAGCCACCATCACTGCACTGGGACCAGACTCCTGCCACTGCCAGAGGATGAGAACGCAACTCTCTGGATGCCTGGCTTGACGCTGCCACCTATAGACTCCTCGGTTGCCTTTGCCACCGCTGCCATAACTGAACTTCAGACACCAATACCTCCACAGATTCCAAACGCCAAGGCTTCACTGCCCAGGCTCCTGCCCATGGCTGTCCTCCAAGCCTGAGGCCAATTCTCCATCCTGCCACTGATACATCTGGGCTCCTCAAACTGCCTTAAGACACCTAGGCTCGCTGTTTGACATTCTCCCCACAGATGGATGCCCCTGCTACAGGATTCTGACACTGCTCCTGGTCACTGGGAACCTCCAATGTGAAACCCTGCTGTGGAACGCTGAGGTTGGCTTCTATATGCTTCAGTCCTAGAAACCAGACTTCTTTCACAGCCACTAGATGCCTTTGCAGGTGCCACCTATACCTCCAGGCTTGGGAAGGGTCCAGCACATGCCCTTCCATGCCTGCTGCCTGTTCATATCTGTCGGGGGAATAAACCATTGATTGGGTTAAAGCTCTCAGAACTGAATCATTTCACTGATAATCCTTGTATTGGCTCACCCATGAGCTTCTGGGGACACCTACTACCTAAAGCACAACACATCTTCATCGAATAGCTTAGCAAGACCTTCTAGATGACTTGCAAGAGCTTCTACATCAGCACTTGTTTCTTTGCCTTGCACTTTTAGTTTATGGAGCAGGGCCTCTTGCCAAAAACATAATGGACCAAACTCTGGCACTTTCTAACTTCTTCTTCTGCAGCTTTCTCACTTCTCTTGTCAGTATAACTATCTAAAATGATGGCCTTATCTGGATTTGGCTTCATCTTCATAGAACGTGGGTTGTTTCTTCTTTTCTTCAGAATATAAAAAGTTTTTCCAGATCAGCAATAAGGCTGTTTTTGCTTTCTAGTCATTTACATATGCCCTGGAGCAGCACTTTAATTTCCTTCTTGAACATTTCCTTTGCATTCTCAGTGTGACAAAGTAGTGTAAGATGCACAGCTTTTTATTTGAAATGCAAAAACATAAGACTCTTCTTTTTATTTAAACAGTACAGACCATTACTGAGTCATTAACGGTTCTAACTTCAATATTGTGTCTTGAAGAATAAGAGGATGGTGAGCCATGATCTGTGGAGCAATAAGAATGTACATATTAAGGTTTTTATCTTATATGAGTAGGATTTGTAGTGCCACATGACAGTTAAAATAGATCATAGTATGAGTTATAATGGCCTAAAATCTTCAACACTCATTAGGCAGTCCCTTCTGCTCCATAACAGGGGCATCTATCTCACCTCCTCCTGGATGGCCTGTTTGTATCCTCTCTCACAGCACCTATGAGTTCTACATGGGCTCCATCAGCAGCTATGCAGTACTGGTAGTGGCACAGCCTGGTGAATGGATTAAGCACTTTTAGGTCAACATAAAAGAATGTCACTAAAAATACTTACAATGCCATAAGAATTAGCATCACAAAAAATAAAATAGATAATCTCAGAGGGGCGGGGAAGGATAGCTGTGCTGGGGGTTCTGGCACTGGGTAATGCTCAGGAGCTCACATGTGGGAGATGCCATTGAACAGTTTAGAACTAGGGAAGTGAGGATACATTCTAGGAGATGTGGAGGGCTGTGGCCTGATCGTTTCTTGACCTCCTGCCTCTATTGTTTTGGACCCTGAATTTATATTGCTGCCAGGAAAGGTGGCTCTCTTTCAAAGGATTGGATGGCAGCTTGGAGCACCATATGTACCCTATATACATATACCAAGTGGAAGATAATGTTCAATATCCACTGACTTGCTTATTGGCAGCTAAGCTTCCTCCTCTTCTTGAAGGTTCAGTGGCCACTGGTGGCTCCATATCTTCCTCTGTGGTCAATGCTGGTGTAGGACCAACCTCTGATTTTGAGGGCTATTTCTCCTCCTTCACAGGGAATGTGATAATATGCTCCCCCAAATGTAAGCAAGTAAATTGGGCCACAGCTGCTGGAGGCAATTATATCACTTGATATGATGCTAGAGCTGCAGGAGAAAACACCCAACATGACTGACTTTCCTTGGGCCTTTCCCAATTCACACTAGAACCCTGCCTCTGAGAATAGTCCTGGCCCTCCTCCACAATTGGCCATCTTCCCAGACTAGGTTCCACCAGCTGAAGGATGTTAGTGTTGTGTTTCTTGGGAACATATGGCAGATCCCAGGGGCACCAGCTGAGATTCCTCTGCACACACCTTCAGTCATCTGCCCCAGACCCCATCATCAGAGAGCTCAGACTTACAGGATCTGTGTTGTTCAGCTGGGGAAGGACATGGAAGTTCCCCTGTGATTCAGGCATAATCATCAACAGGAAGGTCATGAGAAGCTTCAGGTTGTCCAAGTCTTGGGTCCTCAAAAATATCCTGGATAGAGGTACAGCTGCATTTTGATGATGGAGGTGAGGGTGCTGTGGAATGTGGAGTGAAACAGGGAGTCATGATGGACAGGGCCTCTCTTTTAACTGGAACCTCCCAAGGTCCCTGCATCATGGGTTCCCAAAGAGTAGCCAGGCAAGTCCATGCACCAGATCAAAAGGGCAACCTTTGAGGTACATGTGTGGGTAAGGGGCTCCCCACACTTGCTCTCCGGTCTCTGTACAAAAAAGCATGGGCAACCTGGGTTTGCATTGGCTGTGTTGGAAAGGGATCCACACAGGGCTTGGCTCTGAGGCCCCAACCACTACTGTTCCTTTGGTGCCCAGAATCAAATGCACCACAATATGTTCTTTCTACAGGGTAAACCCCAGAGTTGAGTCCTCTGCTGGAAATCACACAGGGTGGAAATTGGGGTTTGCCCAGCCATCATTTATAACAGCTCTTCATAAAACAGGAGCCCTCCTGACTGGCCCAAAGACCACTCCCTTCTTTCCTTAAAGCTACTCCTCACAAACATCTGGCTGCAGGTATCTATACCTAGAGATGGTGAGGAGGCTGACACCTCTAACATCCTGTGCCCCTCATCTGCCAAGATGGCTGGTGGGCTTGACTAACTTCCTGACAATATTGGAACTCCAGGAGGACTAGAAGTTTCTTTGCATTGATTCCTAAATAATAGGCCAAATGATGGCCCATGGTGGTGCTACACATACATTTGAGTGATGACTGAGCCAAACCACCTACTGTCTAGCTATTCAGGGCCAGGACCCTATTCGTTTCTCCCCAAGTGTCCCTATTCTGGCTACATGCATGTTGGAATGCTCCCAGATGCAATCCACAGACTCCTTCCTAAATGTGGAAATTGTTTTTCCTGAAGCTTCAGAGTAGTGAGGTCTGAGGCAGAGAACTTTCTCACAGGGAGGGGATATGCCCACAGGGTAAGGCCAGAGCTATAGGCTGCCTATAGTTACACAGAACCAGGCCTGAGGCAGACACTCTTTGGGCTCATCCTACAAGGTTTTCTAAACATCCAGGCAGGCTGCTTCTCTGAAAACACTACTTTCCCCAGAGCTGACTGAGTTCCCAGAATTCCCAGCACCAAGAAGGAGATGGCCATGTGCCAGGGCTTGGAAGCAATACACACCTTTTACACAGCAGCTCCAGCACTTTCTGAGGAATGTCCAAATTTTGGGAGGAATACAGTACCTTTTAAGAATTGAAGACAGTAGCTGCTGCATAGTAAGTGTGCATACATTTGTTTTAGTAGCACCACCTACCACTGTGTTTCTGGCCCATGCTCATGGATATGGTTTCTTCAACTCTTCATGGTAACTCAATGTGATGGGTATATCCCCCCCTCTATAGATGAGGAAACTGAGTCATGGTCAGATGAAATGACTTGCCACAGAATACTCAGCTATAAGTGCCAGGGTGGGAATTCAAATCCAGGCTGTCCCACACCAAGTCTGGAAGAGAGTACCGTTATTCATTCATTCAACAAACCCCTATGGGTGCCTCCTGGAAGTGATTGCTTCCTGTGTAAGCCCAAAGATTCATAGCACCCATGCAATGTAGGTGTCACTTTTACCATTCCCAAGTTTCCAATGAGGCTGCTGACCTAGGAAGGCAAGGCCCATCAGGCCTGTGAGGAGACAGCACTTTGCATCAGTAAAGCTCCACATGGATTCAGGTTGCTCTGTCCTGATGGCCAATGCACCTGCTTCCTCAGATCACAGCCAGTAAATATCATGGTCATGGCCAAAGTTGGGTTCATGTCATTTTTCAACTGTCCATTCCCACAGAATGTGCATCAGCAAGAGTAAAGATTATGGAAAGCTCCAGACTCTAGGTGACAATGATGTGGGTTTCTGAACTGGAACAAATGTGCCTCTCTGGTGGGTAGTGATGGTGACAGAGGCAGAGACTGTGCAGGGATGGGAGCATTTGGGAAATCTCTGTTCTTCCCCTCAATTTTGAGCTTAAAAATGTTCTAAAAAGTTATCAAGTGAAAAACAAGAGGAGGAAGAAGTGTACTTTGTCACTCTGCACTGGGAGAGGCTGAGGGCAGGCAACCAGAGCTTGGGGCAAACAGACCCAGCACCTGCTTCCAAACCTGCCTCTCTCCAAGCTCAGCACAGCATGGTCTTCAAGGGGCTTTTGGGTCTTTAGAGAGAAGCTGTCTGATGGTGACAGCTCAGAAGCCCTGCCTGACACTTCCTCAGAAGGCCTTGAGGGGAGACTCAGATTTAGGGTGGCCCACCTCTCCCTCTCTGTCCCTGGGCTGTCCCTACTTATCTCCATTCCACCCCTGCTCCCTCAGAGGCTGCCAGCTGCTTGCTGCCTGAGCACCTTTAAGCTGCCCTTCCCACTTCGTGGCCCAGCAGCTCCTGTCCATCAATAAGCTCTCAGCACTCATGACACTTCCTCTAAGAAGCCCATTATGTCTGCCACCTAGAACACCCTGACCCCCTCTCTCCTCTGTTTCCTCAACCATTTCTGAATTCATCCTATTTCTTCATCAGTTTACTTGTCCTCGCTCGGTCCCTCCTTCTAGACCGTGGGCTCCAAGAGGGTAGGGGGCCTTCCTTGTGCTCACTGTTGTCTCTGCAGCTCTCCCAGGATTGGAAAGGAGGGCTTGGAAGCTGTGGAAAAGCCATAGGGTGAGGATATAATGAGAATTGGGTCATCTGCAACCTGAAGGAGGGCCCTCACCATACCCTGCCATCCTGGCCCCCTGATCTTGGCCTGCCAGCCTTCAGATCTGTGAGAAATCAGTTTCTGATGTTTCAAAGCCACACAATTGATGGTCGTAGTTACAACTGCCTCCACTGATTAAGATCTGGGCAATGTGAGCCAGGCTTGGCTACTGCACTCTGGACCCTTGGAGGTACCCAGGAAAGCTGAGGATGCTCTCTCCATTCAGCAAGTGGGTGTCTGTTTGTACAATATCAGGGTCTGCTCACCTGATCCAGTGGACACCTGACAAATAGTAAGCCTGCAGGCAGCACTTAGGACCAAAGACAGGCACAGGGGCAAAATCAGCCACCTCTACTGCAAGGGGCTGTGTTCTAAATGCAGCTGCTCTCACCCCTTCAGTGGGGACATCTGTGGCTTGCCTGCTTGGCTTTCATCTCCCTGTCTCATTATTTACCCTTGAATATTTTTGGTGACCCTTTCTTTCTCTCACACAATGATTCAGCCCCTCCAGGCTTGACCACTGAGATCAATCCATCCCACCATGATGGGCAGAAAGAAGCAGTGACCCAGGCTGGCCCATCACTTTCACTATCATCATTAGGACACTGTCTTTTCCTCCAATGCCAGACTAGAAGATTGTGTCTCTAAAGCTGCTTGGCAACATGCCACCACCCCAAGAGGCAGGGTGGGCAAAGAAGGCAGCGCAGGGAGATGGAGAGAGGCAGTGTCCTGATGATGTCATTGCAACCTCTGGATAAAGCTGTGCCTGAATCTGTTGTGTTCAGCCCACAATTCCCAAACATGTGAACCAAAGCAATCCACTATTCAGCCTTTCTTTCTCCTGTAAAGTTATGCTTGTTTACTTATTGTTCTAGCTAACATTGTTAGGGTTTATCCAATTTGAAAGGTGGGCCACTTTGCTGCTTCGTAGCTGTGTGGCCTTGGCTCAAGTCCTTAAACCCTCAGAGCTTCAACTTCCTTGCTAATAAAGAGGAGTTGCTACTTTCACCTACACAAGAGGAAGTCAGCCTTGTAGATTATATGAGACAAGGCAAAGCACTTAGGATTGATGTTTGATGAACTGAAGATTCTATAATTCTAGTGTACTAATTAAGCATAATTGACTGAAGAATAACTACAGGGAATGCTTTCAAAGACCCAAGTATCACTGAGGGTCTGACTCCTAGGGCCTCAGCTATCTGATTCTTCAAGGTGGCCTCAGTAGGGCAGCAACTGTTGCATTCCTAAGAACACCCACAATCTGAGCTCCTAAAACATCAGGCACAGAAAAAGCATAAAAATATGGATCTTCCATCTTCTCATATCACTAAAAGGAAAAAACAGTGACCCATCTGAATTTAGAACTCTGAAACCCCTCACCCAAGGGCTCAGGACAACTCCATGGCAGGATCAGGAGGCTCCCCCCAAAGAGCTTGTCCCTTTGGACAGCAAGAAATACCCCTTGCATTCAACATATAGCACAGCTCTGGGGACTGCAGCACCCCTACCAAGGACTTATCAAGGTGATCAAGTTCATGCTCTGAGAGCATCTGCAAAGTCATCTGTGAGAACAGGGCAGAAACTGACCACCTGCAGCTGAGTCCATCTTGCTCCCACTGGAGTGAGCGAAGCAGTCCTTCCTGCATACAGATGGCACCACTAGAACAGGTCAGCAACACTGCTGCACAAGTAAAAGAGACTGTCATTCCAGAGGTTCAGGTGCTACTAAATGGGCAGGACCACAATTTGAACCCAGGACTATCTGATTCCAAAGTCTGGCCCTTTTCCAACTCCAACTCACACTCCCAGCATAGGTCACAACCACCTATGGGCTGTTGGTTGCAGCTGCAGAGCAATGGAAAGCACAGTTTGCAGCCAGATCCCTGGGTGAACCACTCACTATCTCTGTGACCTTAGGCAAGATACCTGCCATGTCCTTGTCCCAGTTTTCTAATGCACCAGTGAAGGTGTGTTGTTCATTCCACAGAGCATGGGGGTGGTTAAATGAGGTTGTCTATTGAACAGCTAGGTATCATATGGTAATTTTTTGTTTTGTTTGTTTGGTTTTATGCCTTTATTTACTCAGGATGTCTTTAACTGAATCCTGGGATTCCTGGAGAAGAGCAAGCCTTATCAGCTGCTGTTTTATTATATCTTAAGTACAGCCTTGTCAAATTCCAGGGAGGGCCCGGTCACAGAGCGTGGTGCCAGCTGGTGGCTAGAACCTAGGGCTCACCAGAGGTGGTGGTCAGCTCTAGAACCTCCTGTGATTAGAAAGCAGGAACAGGTGGATGTGAGCAGGGACTTTTTAGGAATCACATGGTTGTTAGGGACAGAGACCTGGGAACAAGGACTCAGGCCATGTCCTGTTGCATCAGGTGCCTGAAGCCTTAGCAATTGCAGGCCCATGGGGGTGACAAAAGTGCCCTTTTCTACTTGTTAACCCATGACAAAATGCTCCCCCAAGCTACTACAGCACCTCATGAGGCTTCTGCAGGGAGACCCAACAGCATGGCACAGGAGACACAAGCACACAAGAAAGCCAGGCCCCTCTTGCCACTCTCACTACTGATAACCAGGGAGATCAAGGCTACCAGACACCCAACACTATCCAGAGCTCCCAGGAGCTGTGCTGCCAGAGTCCTGAAACAGCCTCAAAACACATCATGTGGGTGGGACTGCATTATTCATGAGAAGTTCTGCCCCCATGAGCCTACACACAGGCTCAACTGAGTCAATCCTACAGGACTCAAGGGACCCAGAAATGTCCTTCTTGGAAGTTCTGTGCCCATTCAATGAGCAAGGATTCTGCCACCCCTACTCTGAATGCTGAAAAGTGGAGTCTGAGTCTGGGGTTCCCAGCCCAGAGGCAAAATTCTGCAAAGAATAGGCCAAAGTTTCCTCTTTGGCCTGACACCCTAGTGACTGTGCTTCCTTCCTACTGGTCCCTGATACTTCCATGTTCCTCCTCTGGTCCAAACTCCCCCAGGGCTCCCATCTTTCCCAGAGTAAGGGCCAAAGACCTCAGCAGCCACAAGACTCTGCAAGGTGGACCCTGTTCTTTCTCTGACCTCATCACCACTCTCCTTCACTCTGCTCTGGTTTCATTGGCCACCTTGCTACTCTGTTTTCCCAGTTCAAGATCTTGCAGATGTTGATAATTCTGCCAGGAACACCTTTCCTGAAGAAGTGTATGTCCTCCCTTCCTTTAATGCTCTGCTCAATAATTATCCCCTTAGCAAGGCCAAGCTGACCACCACCTCTGGTGAGCCCTTTCCCTGTCTTTCTGACCTTGATTTCTGCCATGGAACTTATTATTTATCTACCTGTCCTCAGACTGGATTGTACTCTCAATGAAAGCATGTGAGTAAGTGCTCAATTTGCATCTACACTTGGAGGGGAGCCTCAGTGGTGCTCAGTTCATCCACCACATGATGCCACCCCTAACACACACACACACACACACACACACACAGACCAGGCTGGCCCCAAATGATACACCATGCAAGATCTCAAGCTGACAGCTCACAAGATGCAAACATGGCTGCAAAGGGGTGCCAGGCTGAGCAATGGTGGGGGGTGACAAGACAAGGGCAAATCTCACACACACACACACACATATACACAAATCATAGCCTTATTTATTCATATATACTCATGCATTACAGAAAACAGACTGACAAAAACAGTTC